CCCCCCCCAGCAAAAAAAAAAAGCCACTTCAGGACCCTCTTCTGGAGAAGCATTAAATCCCACCAGGACCTGCCTTTATTTCCCGGCTTGCAATCCATCACTTTGAACCTTGTTTATACAGTGTGAAAAAAAAACAACTGGCCGTAAGTCCCTTTTTTCGGTGCCGTTACGACTTCGAACGGTCGCTAAACAAACCGTCGCTAAGTCGAGGACGGCCTGTAGCATCCGCCAGCAAAGGGCAGAAGGTCCCGGCCCAACTCACAAGAGCTTCTGGAGGGTCCTCTGCTGGTAGACCTCGTTGGAGCAGTAGATGATGTAGGGGTGAAAGTGTCCGGAGGCGTGCGCTTCCACTACATCGCTGATGTCGGAAATCAGCACGTGCTTTCGGTGCCTCTTCTCCAAGTCCTCAAAAAAGCTAGATAAGCCCACCCCCAAAAAAACACACCTCGTGAGAAACTCACCCTACAATGAAGCTACCGCAGGACCTAAGCGTCGAGGTTCTGCCTGACGAACCCAACTGAAGAAGCACCGACGAGACAGTGCCATCCCTGAATGCGAAACTTTATTGAGTACATCGTTTTGGCACGAATGAAAGCAAAACCAGCTCCGTTTTTTTCCCACGCAAACCACTATCATTAAAATATAGAATTCTCCCTCCCTCTAATTAGTGCAGGTCACCGTTGTCCAATTAAGGGTCAAAATATTGCTATGAGAAAGTGTCTCTGTGGCTTGGCAAACATCTGCGGAAACGTCCTTGGCTCCCACGGCTTGACTTCCATTTTCCCCCCTCTCCTCCCGCCTATCGCGTTGTCAAGCTGAGAAGCAATAATGCTGGCAATATCATTGGCGCGCTTCGAGCTTGACACGTCGCTAGCAGGGATTTGAACGGGTGGGTCATTCGAGATGACCGCTCTACCACGCCCCACCTGGGGTTCCCACGCCTCCCCCTCCTCCCTCTCTGCACAACCGACCTCTTGCTGACCGCCAAGATGTCCCCCACATTGGAGAAGAGGTGATGGTGCTCGGTCTGGGTCATGGTCTCGCGCAGGCCGGCTGATTTCAGAAAATGCTCCACCAGGATGGTGAGACTATGGAGGTAGGAATACTCAGAGGTGATGATCTCAAAGATGGCCTGGGGGGAAGAGATGGAGAGATGAGGGAGAGGAGGTGGGCGAATGATGGCTTGTTGGCTGTGCGACGAGGTTGGTTGGAGAAAGAAGCTGGCTTGATCTGCTGGCAAAGCCTAAGCTAGAAGCAGCAAAGGTGTAGGCTTAGATATGGAATAACCGTCATTAAATTGGCGTTAAAAAAGAAGCTGTGTGGGAACCCAACATGGTTTCTCAACCTTGGCAACTTCAAGATGGGTGGACTTCAACTCCTAGAATTCTGGATGGATGGATAGACTTCAACTCCCAGAATTCCCCAGGCTGGCTCCCCATCTTTCTATAGCCTGGCCCTTGTAGGGTTCTCCTGGTGACCAAAAGATGACCAAGGCCGCCTTTTGAATGTTGAGTTGGGTTGAAGACCAAGAAATGGCACAGAAGATGCTTCCGTGTTCTCAAGAAGACCTCCCTGGTTTCTACACCTTTGCTTACCTCTTGCCTCTTACGTTCTTCTGGGGTTATCCAGTCCAAGATGCCGCTTTCCAGGACCTGCAGAAGACAAATTCAAGAAATGTTCTCCTGATCTCTGAATTCCTTGCTTGTGGGGCTGATGAAAAAGACCATCGAAGAAAGAGAGGAGAGGAGAGGGGATGGACTTTGAGAAGGACCATCTATGCTGTGGAAGTTCAGACCAGCTTCTTCTGCCAACAGGATTCACCAAGGGGCCTTCAAGTGCTCTTTTTGGCTTTGTGCTCTCCAGATGTGCACATTTCACTTCTCAGCTCTGGGGAGGTGAAGGCTTCACATCTGGAAAGGTGAGGTCCACACCTATTGTATTGTATTGTATTGTATTGTATTGTATTNAGAATAGAATAGAATATGAAGAATAGAATATGAAGAATAGAATAGAATAATAAAATACAGAGTAGAATAGAATAGAATTACAGAATAAAATAGAATAGAATAGAATAATGAATAGAATAGGATATGAAGAATAGAATAGAATAATAAAATACAGAGTAGAATAGAATAGAATTACAGAATAAAATAGAATAGAATAGAAATGAAGAATAGAATAGAATAATAAAATACAGAGTAGAATAGAATAGAATTACAGAATAGAATAGAATAGAATAGAATAGAATAGAATAGAATAGAATAGAATAATAAAATACAGAGTAGAATAGAATAGAATTACAGAATAGAATAGAATAGAATAGAATAGAATAAACTGAACTTCCATTTTAAAAATAAGCCAAACTCCCATTTTTTTTTCTTCTTCAAATGGGGTGAGAATTCTCCAAAGTCACCACGCACCAGCAATAATTTTTTTCCCCCTTTCCCTTTCTTTTCCCCCAAAGCGGTTGCTTTTAGCCGATTTAGCCCCAAAGAAAGCCATTTCCCGTCTTTCCCGCAGAGGCTGGAGGTCTCACCTTGCTGAGGGCCTTCAAAGCTTGGGTGGTGGCTTGGTACGCATCGCGCTTCACCGGGGTCTTTTGGCAAACGGTCTGAAATGGGAAAAGAGGGTTCGGGCCAACGTCTTCCCCATTTTACAGATGTTTGCAATGCCTAGTTTGGGGGGATCTTGATGGGTTCAGGACACCTCTGGCACAGGGTGTCAAGAACCAGCCCAAATGTTTTCAAGGACACGAAGGACAGGTGGGTCTAGCCCGGCCAATGGAGAAGGGAATCCTGGGAAATGTAGTTTATTAAGTTCCAGAAAGCCACAGTCTCCTAGCTGACTAAGAAGGGGGGGGGAAATCACAAATTGCATTAAAAAGGCAAAAAATGCAGCTAAAATAAATAATGGGTGAAGGGAAGGCCATAATAACAGAGCTAGATGCTGCCAGTTTCCTCCCTCCCTCCTTTTTCTCTGTTCCTCTCCCTCCCTCTCTTCCTTCCCTCCCTCCTTCTCTTTTTCTCTGTTCCTTCCTTCCTTCCTTCCTTCCTTCCTTCCTTCCTTCCTTCCTTCCTTCCTTCCTTCCTTCCTTCTTTCCCAGTTTCTACTTCGTTTGCTCTGCTAATACTGTTCAAATGTATTAAATAAAGTGTTAACTGTACAGTTAGTATTTACTCTACTAAACTCTGCAACCTGGAACTAAAAAAAAATTCTGCCTCAGGCAGAGGGCTGGACTAGATGACCTCCTGGGTCCCTTCCTACCCTAAGATTCCATGAAAATGCTTATAAGCGACACACTCAGGACTGCAGCAGGATCTTAACGTTTCCCGCTGAGTGAACATGACAGATGGAACCAAAGCAAAATGGGACCCGTTAGGGCTGCTGGAGGCCGGAACCGTTCCTCACTGAGGACTAGCAGCACAGCTCGTTCCGGAGGTTTGGCGATGGGAAGGCAGAACGGCCCCCCGTTTTACTCACATCCATGAGGAGAGGCAGGCGGGTCACTCTCTGCATGGGGAGGATGAGGAACGAAAACAAGGGCAGGCCGCCGCATTCCGGCATCCGTTCGATCTGCTTTAACGACTCCTTAAAGGCGGCGTTGGTGGCTCTAGAAACAGAATTGGAAAAAAGGGGGATCGATTTTTCTTCCCCCCCCAGCAAAAAAAAAAAGCCACTTCAGGACCCTCTTCTGGAGAAGCATTAAATCCCACCAGGACCTGCCTTTATTTCCCGGCTTGCAATCCATCACTTTGAACCTTGTTTATACAGTGTGAAAAAAAAACAACTGGCCGTAAGTCCCTTTTTTCGGTGCCGTTACGACTTCGAACGGTCGCTAAACAAACCGTC